TGCTGTAACCGCCGAAGGCTGGAGTGGGTCCACAGACTTGTACAGGTGTCTGGCATCTGCTGTCCCGAAGTAAACGCTTAGATTCATGTTGAAGTGACTATCCCTCTGTGTGCACTATCATTTGTCTCTGGCATCCACGCTTTCTCCTTTGTTCAGCAGGGAGTAGACACAGTCTGTGCCCCCACTGAGAACAGACAGCATCAGAGCCTCCAGTTCCACCCTAAATGTCGCGTGCTTTCTGTACCAACTCGCGATTCTTGGCATTTTCTCTGTTCCAAGTCACACATGTCTGGCTCTCATTCCCTTCTCTGCCTTCCCTCCATCCCCAACAATCCCTGTCTGTCACTCACCAGGCCCGGACTCTCGTCTTCTCTCTCTTTGCTGCCCTATGCCTCCCTGACTCAGCTCTATGCCACCCAGTCACCACCGAGGGACACATTTGACACAATCTTCACATCTGCACCTTTGTCCTCATAGGCATTTCTTCCAGGCATGTCCTCAGCTTACCTGTGGCCTGCTCCTCGGTCCTCATACCTATGTTCCACCATCAACATAGCTGTTTCCCAGGCTCCCATGCTCTCTCCCAAACTCCTGATTCTATTAGGACTCCTCATAGCTAATCAGCAGGAAGTCTATCCAACTAGCTCACGGCTACTCTACGTGTGTTGCAAGAGAACTGGGCTCCTTAGAGTTGTTCGGGTTTTTGGGGGTGTTTTTTTTAACTACTTTTTTGTGTGTGTACTGTCAAATCAGATCTGACGGGTACAGGAGGAGGTTGTCTCTCCTTTTCCAGTAGAGCATCTGGTGGATTTGAACCATGTTCCTCTGAGATTGCAGTGCAGGATCTTGCCACTAGGTCACCAGAGCTCCCTTCCACAGGGTTTTCAATGGCTGATTTTTCAGAAGTAAACCACTAGCCCTTCCTGTCTGACCTCTCACCTAGCAGGCCATACTGGTGACTCTCTACATCTCCCAAGGGTAATATTCATCCTTATTACAACCCACAGGCTCTACGGGGGTGGATTCTCCTACACCTCTGCTTCCTACTCTTCTCCCATCTCACACTGTTCCAGTCCCACCGGCCGTCACACTGAGCCTCTCCCTTCCAGACACACTGCTGCTGGCATGATCTACCCAAGCAGAGAGCCTTCAAGGAAAGCGGAACTCAAGTAAACTGCCAGAACTTGGACAGAATACAAAAGATCTGAGTATTTGGAAACAGCATCCTTCCTGGTGCAGATTTCACTTGCCCTGCCTTTCTCGGCCTTTATAAATTTCCACTTTTGCCCAATATAGACATCCAAGATGACAATTCTGATAATCTTCCTTCTGTGCTCAGAGCTACCTCCCCTTCACCTCAACCTCAAAGAACAGTATTGCACTGCGGTACCTTTAACATCTTGCAGGAACCAAGGAACACATACAGTATTGAGGACTGTCATGAATTAAACTATGTCTCTCCAAAATATCATTGTTAATAGGGCTGCTATAAATCATGACCAATTCTGTGGAACAGAACAAGAGCAGGATGGATGTATGCAATGGTAAGAGGGAGCTAGAAAATGATTCCTCGGGATGTGATAAACCTAGCATATAAACATATTAAGGGTGGGATGCGGGGCTCCCCAATCTCCTCATAGTCCTGATAGGATGTAAGGGGTCGGGTTTCCCTAGGGGTGTGGCCTGTCCAACTGTTTTTCTCACTAGAGATAAAAGGGAAGGAATTCAATCCAACAAGGGGAGCACTGAGTAAGAGGAAGGAAGAAGCCCGTAGTGAAGTGTATCCACTGGAATCTCTGCCCTAGGAAGCCTCCTCACACAAAGGAAGTTCAAGACACACGGAGACCTCAAGACACCATCAGGCAATGGAAATGGGAAAGACCCAGAGGAAAGGCCAATGTATACGAACTTTGTAAGTAAACCAGCATAAAATACAAATCCTATTTTTAAAAAGAGAGAGAGACCCTCAGGCAAAGAAAGAGATTATGAGTGCCAAGAAGCTGTCCTGAAATACTGCTGGCACACAGTTCAAATCCATCAGCTGCTCCATGGGAGAAGGGTGGGCAAACTCCTCCCATGCGATTAACTGCCTTTGAAAACCCACCGGAGGGTCAGCTCTGGGTCAGTTCTCACTCAGCGGTAAACACCAGCAACATCAGGCCTGCAGGTGCTGAAGGAAACGAAAGCTGTTCTCCATAACTGACAGAAAGGGCAGTCCCTAGAGCTGGTCCCCTGAATTTGGACTTCTAGCCTGTTGAACTATAAGAGGATACATTTTTATTTGTTGAAGCCACCCATTTGTGGTAGCTTATCATAGGTGCATTAGACAAGGGACTTTAGAAAAGCCAGAAGCACAATTCCCATGAACATCAGAGATGGTGTAGAGCTGCTGAGATTAGGAGGTCCCGAGAGGTAGGCGTGGAGTGCCAGGTGCCAAAGCATCACACGTGTGCTCCTCTATCTGTGCCCCCACACCTGCCACTGCATGCCAACCCTGTCCTCAGGAGGCTGCATTTTGGTTTCTTTCCAAAATATCTTTCTCAATGTGACGTGGTGTGTGCAGTGCCTCTTACAATCTATCAGATAGTTAAGTGGACTTTACTTGATGGCCAGGAATTAGATGACCCAACAGCATTTCTCAGATATTAGTGCTATTTTTAATCTGCAATTAATTGCCTTCTTCCTTCTGATGCGTAACATTAGGAACTTTGCCCTTATTTCAAATCTTGTACATGACTTTTAAAAAATTCTATATTGACAACTATGAGATATCATCTCACCCGAGTAAGACTAGCAAAATTTAACAGAACAGCAAGTAACCAATGCTGGCGAGGTTGTGGAGAGACTGGAACCCTTATTCACTGTTGGTGGGAGTGTAAAATGGTACAACCACTGTGGAAAGTGGTGTGGCGCTTTCTCAAAAAGTTGCAAATAGAGATAGCATTTGACTCAGCAATTCCACTACTGGGAATATACTCTAAAGAGACCATAAACGACATCCAAGCAGATATATGCACACCCATGTTTATCATGGCTTTGTTCACAATAGCAAGGAGTTGGAAACAACCTAAGTGCCCATCAACAAACGAATGGGTAGAGAAGCTGTGGTATATTCACACAATGGAATACT